GGGATCAGGGCCTTTCCTGGGCTCCCCTCCTGACATGGGGGAGGGTACGCCTGCCTGCAAGGTCGGTCTGCCTGTCTGTCTCTCTCTCTCTCTGTGTGTGTCTGCACATGAAGTCCCCCTTGGGCATAGCACCAATTCCTGTATCAGGTTCAGGGGAATCTGTTCCAAGTTTCGGTTCTGGCTGGAAAGGAGGCCAAAAACTTAGGGGGAGGGTGCTGATCTTCTCCGTCCCACAGGTGAAGCTGCACCTGCTGAAAGGCCCTCTTTCAAAGAGGTGCAAGGCATTGCGGGGGGGGGGAGGAAATCAGCATCTCTCTGTGCAGCCAGAGGGGCTCTGCGTTGGACCGTCTCTGGCTCTAGGCCTGGGCGCGCCCCCCCTCTCCTCCACACTCCGGCGCCAGCTGTCTCCATCCTGGTGTGACCCTTGTGTCCCTTCTCCCTCCCAGGAAATCCCCTCCAGCCTCCGAGCAGACGGCACCCAGCGGTACCCGAGGTCTCTCCGCAGCAGTGAGTACCTGAGGCTGTTCGCAGCTTTACCTTCAAAGTCGGGAGAAATGAGGACAAAAGGCCCTGGAAGGAAATTTGGTCAGTAAAATTTCCTTCCACAAAGAAGCCCATCCAAGCATGACTTTGTAAAGGAGCTGTGGTCTTGGGTGAAAGCTGGGGGTCCACAGGAATTTGGGTGAGGTGCTCCTAGTGCGGGGCGTGTCGGCCACGTGGCTCTCAGGAATGTCATGCAGGAACCATGTCCGGCGACGGGGGGGGGGGCTGCCAATGTGTTTCTGCTCCAAGTTCAGAACATTAATGGTGGGGCTTAAAGAAGGGCCTTGAGAAGGCTTGATTCGGTCTTCCTGTTGCCTCGTGCCCAAGACCTGGACCTTCTGTGGCGAGGCCACGGAGGGCCTTCTCAGTGGTGGCCCCTCAGCTGTGGAGGTCTCACTGGCTCTGGGGTCGATTTCTTCCAAATACCAGCCAAGTCTAGGCTTGCCTACTTGAGCAGTTGGGTCATCCCAGTCCCGTGGATTTTATGTCCTGGATTATGGAGTCTTGCTCAATGGGATTTTATTGCATTGTTTCGATGGTCTGCACCCATCCCCGAAAGCCACAGTCACAGGGCACATGAGGAACAGATGTTGGTGAACACTTCTGACCTGATGTGACTGGACATCTGTTTCGTTGCACCTTTTCTCCAAAGAAGCATTTTGTTCGTGTGAAGGAAAGGGTCCCAATCCTCCTGAGCCAGCTCCTGGGAACAGCAACGAAGGAGGAGGCAGGAGATCTGCAGCAAACTCTTCCATGCTCTCTTGAAATCCTTTGCTTCCAACGACACCCACGGCCACCACCACCACACAGAGTCCCCTCCTTTCCCACATTTTAAAATTCAGAGTTTAACCCTCTACGTTGTTTCGCAGTTTGTGATTTTCTGTCTCGTCTTCACCACCAAAAAGCAAACCGAATTCACGGAGACGGATGTCTCTGAAGTGTGAACTCCCAACAATGATCGTGTCAGTTGGGGTGATGGGTGTCCCTCCTTCTCTGAAGTGACACCTCCCATCTTTATCCTTCCAGCAGCCCCTGCTGGGAAGAAACAGCCTGCCGGGAAAAGACCGCGCTGGTGCCGCGTCACCTTCCCGTACGCCCCCACCAAGGAGGATGAGCTGGACTTGTCTCCGGGCGAGCTGGTGCAGATCTTGGAGGAGGTGAGGTGTGGGTTGGAGGTTGCCCGTGGCACCTGATCCCTTGGGGGGGGATGTTGGGCCAGTGGGGGTGGTGCGTCGACTCAAGAAGACCCCACACCTGAAAGCAGATGCCCCAGAGGGCCACTGGCCTCACTTTCTCCAGGATGCTGGTTCTTTGAAACGAGTGGGGGGGGTGTTTGGGGTGCTGTTCTCCCCCCCCGGCCCATCCCTGCACCATGACTGTTGGCATGTACAAACCTGTGGCTTGAATATCATCGTCTTTGCATTGGTCTCTGTGAAAATTTCTGTGAAAAAAACGGAATATCTGTGCCTCACAGGACCCCTGTGGCTGTGTTTCCTTTCTATTTTGTGGACTGCCATGTTTGTCGAGCGGGCCGAGGCAGAAGCTGCCTCTTAGTAACCTGCTTCACATTGTGAGGCAATTAGAAGCGGGAGTCGCGACACGGATTGTGGCCCCTGTGAGTTGGGGGTGGGAGGGGACGGACCCTCGGTCTCTGCGTCTGGAGCTTGGAGGTCTGGCCCGGCCGAGGCGGATTGTGAGGAAGGGCGGTTGGGAAACGGTCCTTTAAGAGAGGCTGACTGTTCTCTCCCTCCTCTTCCTCCTCTTCCTCCTCCTGCTCCACGGCCACAGATTGAGGACGGCTGGTGGCTGGGCAAGAAGAATGGCCGACTGGGAGCCTTCCCTTCCAACTTTGTGCAAGAGCTGAGCAGCCCCCTTCCAGGTGCGTAATAAGCCTCCACCCTTGCCCCCCCCCACAGCAAGGTGGGGCAACCCCTGTGGCCACCCGTTAAAAATATAGGGCCGATCCGTGTAGGGTGGCCATGGCTGTTTGGAGCCCCGTGGGCCTCATTCAGAGCAAATCAGGGGGTGGCTGAGAGAGAAAGGGAGGCAGCGTCGGGATGGGAGAGGCCTCCTTAGCGCCGGGACTTCCATGCGGTTCAGGAAGACTCCCCCAAAGCGTCCCTTTGCTGAACACGTTTTCCCCAACGGCCCCTGGCAGACACCGCTTTTATGGAGCCCAGAGGGGGAGCCGGCAAGCAGCGCCCCAAAATGAGGGAGGAAACTTTTGTTCTCAGCGAGCCTAAAGAGGTGAGTGGGGGTGGGGGTGGGAGTGGGGCTGGGGGTGGCTTGGAGTCTGGCCGCTCAGCTCTGGAGGCGGTTGGATCACCACGAAACGGTTCTTCCAAGACGGAAAGCAACTCCTTAAAGCAGCCCCCTTCCCTGCAACGCATGGCCTCTCTCTCTCTCTCTCTCTTTTTGTGCATGCCCCCCCTCTTTTTGGCAATGAGTGCATGACTCCAGAAGTGCCCCTTCGGGATGAAAATATCCAGGAATAAAGGGCAGGAGGGGCTTTGGTTCAAGAAGGAACCAGACCCACATCTGTGTGTCCGTCCCCCCCACTGCCACTGCCCTTTGCAACTCTGCCCATTGTGACCCCCCCCTTCCCTGTTTCGTTTCTTCCCCACCATCTTGTTCTTCCCCCAGCAGGAGAAGGAGAGAGAGAAGAAGGTGGTTGCCCCACAGACGGCGCAAGGGAGCTCCCCGGCTCAAGCCCCACCAACCCGTGAGTGACGGTGGCGGCCCGGAAGGTTCTCTTGGCCACTGAGCTTCTCGCCTGGCAGTGGGGGAGATGGCTTTGTCCCAGGGGGAGGATGACTGTCAGAGTCAGGGGATGCTCTCCTCCAGGCCAGCCCCTCTGGAGGTGTGGGCAGGGCAGGGGTTTGCCAAGCCCCTCGGGGAGGGGGTGACTCCTAAGTCCAATGGCTGTACCTTGTGATGAGGAGCTCTTTCGGGGGTGCCCCGCGTTGGTAGAGGGACGGTCTTCAGAACGCTCCAGCAGGAAGGAGCTAAACACTGGGAGGCAATGCCTTGTACACATACACACCTGTGTGCCTTTCTCTACATGCATGCCTGTTTAACCTGCCTGGCGTGTCCCCCCCCTTCCCCATATCAGGTCATGCCCCGTGGTACTGCCGAGCCATGTTTGATTATGAGCCGGAGCACGAAGATGAGCTGCAGCTTCGGAAAGGAGACCTGATCATCCTGCTGAGCAAGGTGTGTGTGTGTTCTGCCTGGGACAGCAGGGAGGGAGGGAGGTCCCTAAAAGGTACGTGACTTGTGTACACCCAAGCAGGCTATGGGGATGTTCAGGGGAGGGGGCTTTTTAGGGTTAGGAAGGAAGGTCCCTAGTCCAGCTTCAGGAGAGAGGAAAAAGGGGTCCTCCAGCTTCTGCTTTCAGGTTGTTTTTAACCCCCCCACCCCTTCCCAGTAAGTTAACAGTAGTTTGACATGACAGTGGGAATTTAGGAGCCAGCCCAGCGAGAAAGGGAGAAGTGGCTTGCCTGCTCCGCCAAGTGAAACCGACCAGAGATGTTTACAATGTCTGGAGCTTCTTCATTTTGCAAAGGAGGAGGGAGGGCACTTTCCCTCTTTCTCTCTCTCTGCTGGCTTGTAAATTTCCTCAGTCAGCTCAGACTGTCACTGTCCCACTTGGAGAAAAATGTAACAATTAAAAACAACCACACAGCAGAAGCCATGAGAGGCAGCTGGTGTGAGGGCATCCGGATGCAGGACAAAGCCTCAAAAGCAACCCTTCTGAATGGATTACGACTTGGAAAAGATGGTCTGCAAGCAGGCTGGTTAATGAAATGATTGAAAATCTTAGGTGTAATTTCCCGAAGCATTTTTGAGCCACTGCTTGATACCGGAGTAATTGTTTTCAAGGCGGACGGACATGCAGAGCAACACGTGACTGTAAATCGATTTCAAATACATCGGAGCTGAAGTGGATACAAGTCGGCAGTGTAACCGTGCCCTTAGACTGACTCGTGAGACTGGGAAGAGGAACCCAGTGTTTGATGCACAAGTCTGGGCCAGCTGTCTCATAATAACAGTGGAGTGCAAAAGAGACGCATTCGTGTTTCGGCAGAAATATCCTTCCTTGTGTGCAGAAAAGAAAACCAGTCAGACAGGATTAGGATCAGGGCCTTCTGTCCATTTCAGCAAAGGGACTCTCCTCAGACCTGTCTCTGACCAACATCGTGGCCTGTTTTGGAGAAGGGACACTGGGGGGGGGGGAAGAGTTTCCCTCTCTGCAGAAACTGTGACCTCCCCCCCTCTTGGGGTAGAGAAGGGAAAACTGACAGGGTGGGCCGGGGGCCGGTCTTCTCCTTAACGTTCCTCTTCGGTCCCTTTTGCAGGAGACGGTGGACGTGGGATGGTGGCAAGGAGAGACCCGTGGCAAACGGGGCCTCTTCCCGGACAACTTCGTCATGCCACTGGCCACGGTGGAGCCTGGGGTGAGCTGGACGGCCCTCGTCTTCATTTGGGGGCAGTTTGGGGATTCTTGGCCCATGGCGGGGGGGAGGAAGGGGTCCCCGCTGGCCTTCCCACGCTCAGTGGCTGGACATTCCTTAAGGTGGAAAAGGGAAAAGACGGGCAGTGGCAGGACTGCCACGTTGGGACTGCCCTGAGTGGCTGAATGATCAGATCGGAGAATTGGGGAACCGAAAGGGACCCCAAGGGGTCGTCTCATCCTTCCCCCCCCCCTGGGGAAGTGGGAATTGTGTAGGTGCAGCATCTCTGACCGAGGAGCCTCTGATCTCTGTTTAAAACACCTTTTAACGAGAGAGGAGTCGCTGCCTTCTCAGTGAGTTCATTCCCAGCTCTTCCCAGGAACCAATTCTTCCTAATCCTTAGTGGACAACCTTCTCTCTTATCATTTGAATCCGTTACTGTGGGTTCTACCCTTGGAGTTGTAGAAAGCCAGCTGGCTCTCTCATCTACGTGACGACCCTTCAGATATTTGAAGATGGCTATTCCGTCACCCACTTCTTAGCCTGGGTACCTGGATGATCTCAGGCAGGCCGCCCTGAAAGGCTGAAGCTGTTGTTCTGGGCAACTCAAGAGTAGCCCCTTCCCTTCCCTTCCCATTCACAGAGAATCATACAATAATGGAGCTGGAAGGGGCCCTCATGAATGCAATTCAAAGCAGATCCACCAGTTTTCTCTTGAAGTTCTCCAGCGTTGGAATGCTCCACACCTCCCCTTGTGGTCTTGGGTTCCCTTGTTGTACTGCTCTAACAGTTAAGGACCCCCCCCCCTGATATCCAGCCAAAATCTGGCTTCCTGTAACATGAGCCCATTGTTGTGTGTCCTGCACTTGGGGATGATGGAGAACAGATTCTGCCCCCTCCTGTGTAGGACGACCTTTCAAGTAGCTGAAAAGTGCCATCCTCTCTCCCCTCAGTCTTCTTTGCTCAAGGCTAAGCATGCCCAGTTGTTTCTGTCTTTCCTCCTTAAAGGGCTTGGTTTCCAGTCCCCTGATCATCCTTGTTGCTGTCCTCTGAACTTATCCCAATTTGCCATCATCCTTCTTGAAGTTACCCTCCTTTCTTCTTTCTGCAGATCAAGAGCAAAGTGCCCGCACGGAAGACAAACCCAGGTGAGTGGCAAGCCCCTCTCTCCCGGGGGAGGGGGCAACTGGCAACGGCTCTTCACACCCCACCCTCCAAGCAAACAGGCCCACTTTCCGTGGGAAGACTGCAGCACTGAGGACGTTTTGCACCTGGCCATGGCTTTGAGCAATGTTGTCTCCTTCTTGTGCCCATGCAAAGCCGGGCAGACCTTGGGGAGGGCAGGGTGTTTGTGCATGATGGAGACAGAGAGAGGGAGTGAGTGGGCTGAGGACTTTGGGGTCCTCAGGATTGGGGTTCATGGAGGAGAGGGTCTGCCCAAAAAGCTCGCCCCTCTGTCTCCCCCCTCTTTAGGAAGCCAGAGAGGGAACTTGGGTAGACTTAGTTTGGGGGGAAACAGGCAGACTTTGGCTAGCTCTGGCACGTGCCCCCCTTCGGTGAGGCCGATGCTTCAAGAACTGCCTCTATCTGGCTAAAGCCCTATGCCTTTCACCCTCCAAACCTGTCCCTCTCTTATAAAATATCTTTTTACATTGATCAACCTATTACGATAAAGCTGCCATGGCAGAGAAGAAGGTCCCCCAAGGCAGCAAAGGGGATACCAAGCATTCTGGAGACCCCAGAGGTGAGGAGAGGGCTGGTCTTTTGAGGGTGGGGTGTTGGGGATCAAGCAGGGTCTGGCAGGGCAGGTAAGGCCTTTGCTTGGCCCCATCCAGGCACCAGACCAAGGGGAGACCGCTGGAGGGGTCAGGGGCCCTTGTCTTCCCCTTGTGGCTTTGTGAGAGGCACAAAGTCTGTAACAGAAAAGTAGTATTTTGTTTGGGATGGAGCAGAGTGATCCATCTTTCCTGCTCCACCTTGGGAGCAACATTGCTGCCTCCATTGATTCATTCATTGATTGATTGATTCATTCATTCATTCATTCATTGATTCATTGATTCATTGATTCATTCATTGATTGATTCATTCATTCATTCATTCATTCATTCATTCATTTGTATGCCACCTTTCTCTCCCTTCAAAGAGCCATGGTGCATTCTTCCAGTCTTCTTCTTAGTCAGCAGGAGTTTGGCCTGAGACTTGGGCTGAATTCGGATGTGTTGCTGCACTGTCTCTTTTTCCCACATGTGTAGCAAGGAAGTGGCTTCTCTCCCAATGTTCGACTGGAGAACAAACTAGAAAAAAGACACCTACTCCAACTGAAAAAAAAAACCCAACCCTTCTGTAGGAGATAAAAGTTCTTAGCTTTGTGTTCTTGACTTGCAGAGCCCAAGGAGCAGAAAAGAGTGGACACCCCCAAGTTGCCTCCCGCTCCAGTGAAGAAGGCCGCTCCCCTTCCTCCTCCTCCTCCTGCTGTGCCAGCCAAGGCCAAGCCAGCCCCCAGCCTTCCCCACAAGTAAGAGCTGAAGGGCGAGAGGGAGAGGGGCCTCTGGGTCTCCTTCCTTTGCCCCCTTGAGTATTCACCCGTCCCCTGCTTGGCCATCAACCCAAAGGCTCAGGGAACAAGAAAGCCCCATACGAAGGTCCCCCTCTTCATTCAGCCCCTGGAGACTGGTTGCTGGTCAGAGCCGATGACTCGGGGCCAGAGGGACACTCAGCTTGGCCTTGCACACACACACGCATGCACGCACGCACACACACACACCTGGCCTGTTCAACTGGGGCCACTCGCTGGTGAGTTTGCCCTTGTCCTCACCAGGCCAGGCCTGTTTCTGTGCTGAGCTGCCTGGGAGCTGGGGTGGGTCTACTGGTTGCGCGTCTTCCCTTCTGTGGCTTTTACCCGCCATGCCCTCCGCCCACCTGGATAGGTCACTGCCTGATTTTATTCCAGGTCTTTGGGCCCTCCTGCCTCCAGCACTGCCACCCCCGGGGGAAGAGGGAAAGGCAAAGAGACGGGTAGGTGCCCCCTTAGCATGGAGGGGCTCTGATTTCTTCACCAATCAGAAGCCATAAATACGTAAGCACTCTGGGTGGGGACGGGCTGGTGCGATGGGATCCCTCTGGCTCCGATCCCTGTTGCTTTTCCGTGGGCTTGTCTCAGGATGGAGTCCGGACCCTTTGGGGGTCACCGGCTGGCTAGCCCTTCAGGAGGTGCACACCCTCCCTCACCAGCAATACCTCTTCTGCGTCTTGCTGCAGGAACTGATACTTTGGATGCCGTCCTTGTTCCGAGTGCCAAGCTGACCCACCCGACCACCAGCCGCCCCAAAATGCCAGGGAAGAGGCCACCCAGCCAGCTGACGGCCGGTTCCCCGGTGAGTTCCCTTCGGCCAGCGGGCGAGCCTGGGTGCGGTTTGTCCTGCACACAAGAGAGCGGCCATCTGCCCTGGGGGGGGCGGCCGTGCAGAGGAAGGAAGGAGGCCTGAGCAGCCGGCCTTCCTCTCCTTTGCTGTGTAGGAGGTCGGCTGGGAGGCGGATTCTGTCGCTCAGTCGCGCTTCTGTGGTGTTGGGTGGGGGAAGTTGCCCTCTTTCCCCAGCCGAGAGGCGCCTGAGGCCATGACAGCCGAGGACGGACCGACATCCCTGCAGGATCTCAAGACGGAGCTCAAGTCCCTGAAGGCCCTCATGGATGTGATGTGCGCGCAGCATTGGTGAGTGGGTGGGTGGGATTTCCCTTTCCCTCAAGGCAAAAGTTCCAGTCCTGGAAAACACCCCCAAAACCTTTCTCTTGGCCAGAATAGGAGGCCCCTATGAAGTGCCGGTGGTGGGGGTGGGTGGGGGGAGTTTGTGCCCTGAGGGTACCGCTGGTCTTCCGTTGCTTGCAGGAGCGAGATGGAGGAGCTGAAGGGGCAGCTGCTCCACGAGCAGACCGAGCGGGCGACTCTGCAGGTGAGAGAGGGAGGGGTGGGTGGGAGGGTGGAGGGCACGGGAGAAGGGAAGCCAAAGAGGCGCCTCCGCGGCATGCTCTCTTGGGCTCACCCTTCTCGCCTCCACCTTTCAGGCAGACGTTGAGCGGCTGAAGCAGGCGCTGCCCAGGCCAGGGTCCCCGGATCAGGCCTGCCAACAGCCCACCTTTGGCCGCCACGGGGCGGTGGAGCAGGATGCTCTGAACGCTCCATCCTCCACGGCTGCTGTCAAGGAGTAAAGAAGCAGCTCTGGGCCCTTTTGGCCTCCCTGAGATCTGCTGAGGAGGAGAAAGGTGGCTGGATGGCAAGGGATGTCCGGGGGCCGGGCCGGTTCCCTTCACAGCCGCTTCCACTTCCTGCCGATGCATCCGGTGTGCATCAACCTCTGGAACGTGCTCCGTACCAGCCCTGATGGTCTGACCGCCGTCCGTCGGTAGTCTGTTCTCTTTGCCTCCGGAGCTGAAGCTGTGGGTGACCCTGCCTACCCTCTCTGGCCAGGTAGATGGCTGGAATACGGCATGTCTGAACACCTGTCCCAGCTTCTCTGGCCCGTAGGGTGGAGTGCTCTTGCGATCCCTGGGTGGCTCTGGAGCATGCCAGGAATCTCCCTGTAACCATGTGTCCTGGTTCCTTCTCTGGGAAGCTGCTGCTTTGGAGATGTGTGCCAGTTCTTCCACCTGTCTCTCTCCTCTCTGTCTGTCTGTCTTCAAGACAACATTCTTGCTTGCTGCACCCTCTTTCTTCCTCTTACTCTGTCCCTGGGGATTGTTCAGAGGGTAAATTCCTCCTTATTCTGTAATCCTTAAACTGGGGAGAAAGTGTATGTCGGGCTGGGTGGAGGTGGAAAGCCCTTACACAAAGCTAGTTGCTAACTAGAATATTTTGACCTCAGTCTCCAAGCTTTTTAATGCATTAAGTTTGTAAGTTTTTAACTTAAAATAAAAAATATTTTTGTATGCCAGGGAGGTGGTTGTGCCTTTTCCCAGAAGAGAAAGCAGCAGAAAGACCCCTTTAAAGCCACTGCATGTTTTGGCTGGCCTGAAGGTTATTTTTTTGTTTTTACATAAAAGTCACTGGGATTTGGGGGGGCAAATGGATCCAGAATCGCCATGGGCTGAATAATCTCTCTCTCTTTTGCTGGAGAACTTCAAGGGAAACCTGGGATCTGGTGGATTTCCTGCAAGCTCCCTCCGAGACCTGGTGTCCGCTCTGAAGGAACGTTGTGCTCGTAACAGGGTCCAGCCCTTCTTGTGCCCGCCTCAACCTTCCTGGAGCTCTTACAAGCGGGCTGTTCACTTCACCCTTATACCCGAAGGACAGAGGAGCAACCAACGTCTCTTAGGAAACCAGCAATAACTCCTGCCTTTCTTCCCAAGATTTCAGGGCCAGAAAAGCAACAGCCGAGGCCAGGCGTTGGCCCTCTGACCGACCCCCCAACCCCATTCTCCTGTAGCTCATGGCTGGGCCAAGTGCAGCCTTCTCTGGGTGCAGTTGGACTACAACTCCCATCAGCCCCTGCCAGCAGCATAGCCAACATCTGGAGGGATGGACCGTCTCCACCTCTGTTGCAGGGGGGGCTCCCTCTGAGCAAGAACGGGCCTCTACGGCCGCAGCCCCCTTCTCTGTTCTGGCTGCTGCTGCTGGTCTTGGGGATGCGGGGACGCCCGTTCTCAGCAGCAGGTGGCGCCACCTCCACATGGCTGCCTCGCACCCGGCTCCTTGTGGGGGCTGTTTCTCTTGGATGGGCGCCTGTCCGGATGGAGAAGGAGACGGGAAGCCAGCAGAAAACAGCCGGGGCTGGGCTTTGCCAGAGGGCCACTGTGCCGCTCCGCTCCCCTCCAGGAGCTTGGCTGGAACAGTCATGGACTGGATTAGTCCACTCCCCCTCCCTGCCCAGCTGACTGGTTTCCCTCTGTGTCCCCCCCAGAGTAGCTCTTCTTGCCTCCGAGGAAGCTCCTAAAAATGCCTGCCAGAGGAGGAGTGTGGGTGGCTCCTCTCCAGGGGCCGAAGCGACCCTTGAAAGGGGGCGCGAAGCAGCAGCGTTTCTCTCCCTGAGGCGTGAAGTGGGCCTGAGCCACCTTTCCCAGGGGAGGGAGAGCAGGTTGGCCGCCCTTGCTCGCGCTCCCCTCTTGCTCCCCTCGGTGAGGAACCCAGACCCCCTCAGAGCTGTGACCTCCATCGTTCGCGCTTTCAAAAGGCGGTGCCTCTCTTGGGGCCGACCTGTTCCCTTCTGCACCAAATTCCAAAAGGAATTGGGAAAGCAGAAGGAGGCCACAGTGGGAGGGAAGGAGGAGATTCTGGAAGAAGGGAGGCAGGGATTTTGGAAGAACACAAAAAAGGAAAAACAGTGAAAGAAGAACCCGTTAAGAGCATGACAGAACGAAAGAAATGGGACACATGGATAAAAACAGGAAAACTGCCTTTGGTTTTGGGGGCCCAGGGCAGTTTGTGCATATGTGCGCACAACCAGCCTTATATAGGACATGACTGGACAGGTCTCTGCAATTGACGACACCGTAATCCAGGGAGGACTTGAAACTGACG